GGGCAGTAGCATACTTTCATATACTGTTGAGCTTTTTCTAGATAGGAATTTCAATTTATATATTGGTATTTTTAATAAGGTGGTTTGATCATATTAGAACATTTACTTTCTTCATCCTTCTTAGTTGAAAGGTAGTAACCTCCCATTGAATTTTCTATAAATATTAAGTCTTCATAAAATGTAGGTGTTTTTCAAAACGTTGAGACAAACCTCTGTATCGAAGTGATGAATCCCAGCTTGGGAGTTTATTTGGATTGTGTACAGTGTGTTTTTGTGGGTGAATAACTGCAGTGCTTCATTTGACAGCTGCCACGTCAGGTACCAGAAAGGCTGCCCCTGAGTCTGTCAGAGATCTGTTCTGTGTTCATATTGAGCACAGTCTGAATTAAACAAAAACTCTAGGTAGAGCCCAGACAGAGGGCGTTTTCTCCTTTATTGCCCCATAGGGAGCATTTAGCTTGAGTCCCCTGGGAACCATGGGCACGGAATCTTGGGCTTCCCCAATAGGGGCTCTTCTGCAGGACTGCTCAGGGCTCTGATGGACATTGCTGGTTGGTCTTGCGTGGTGTCTGCTTGTTAACTTGCAGAGCCTCCCTCGATTCTCCTAGAGCCTTCCAGAAATCCCCCTTTCCTTATGCTAATCAGAGTCCATTTGTGTTGCTTATCACCTTCACAAGAACTTTGGCTAAAGAAGCACATCTTTTTCAGATCTACAGTGAAATTTTAATTTTAGCCTAAGTGTCCTGCTGTCTCTTACAGCGGGTGGCAGTTCAGACTCCCTTGCTGGAGACAGTCCCTGCGCTTGCCCATGGGCCCTGCCGCAGTCTCTGTGCTGCTTTCTCTTTGCAGTCAGCCTTCGAGGACGTGGCTGTAGGGCGTGGGTAGCAGGCCATAATAGGATCTGGCAGTGTTTTTCTGTTCGTGGGACTGTATATAAAAGTTTAGGACTGCTTCCCAGTGCCCTGGTGTTAAAAGCCAGTTACCAGATGGTGTGTCGTAAATGAACAGCCGAAATAAAGTGTTTCTTCAACTGAATTTTTATATCATGTAGTTTTTTTAAATAAGCAAAATAAGTACTTCATTTTTTTCCTTTTGTAATTTTAAAGTGACAGTTTTAGGGTTAGAAGTATAAGATGACCAAACTTGAAACATTACATTTTAAAATTCACAAATATAGAATAAGATATACTTTCATCATTGAAGGCATTTGTTTCCTACTAAAATTAAAATATTGCTGGAAGACTTATGTATTGAAAATAAATATTTTTTCAGTTATTATGAACTAGTGGGATGGAAAATTCAAGCAGTTATATTTAGCTCTGTCACTGCATCGTTTTTGTATGAGATCACTCTCTGACTCATTATTACATCTTTTCGTGGTCCACCTTCTCGACAGTGAAGCATTTCCATAGCTACTCCATCTCTAGGAGGGAGTTTAGAAAAGGTTCTTAGTCATGTTGAAAGGGATAGTGATCTGAATTGAATCACCTCAATAGGAGGTTTAAGAATATTCAGACCAGCATCTTGTTTTACATTCTTGAATGCATGCTTCTTTTCTATTTTGTGCTTAGATGTATTATGCTTGATATCTTTGAATATAGTTAAGCATGTAAGGAGTTACCCCCAGAGACTGGATTTAGCAATGCATACACTAGAAAGGTGCCTCAGCTTTCAAAAGAAGACTGACTAGTTGCAGCTGGTATGTTAGCATAATAAATAGAAGCTTGGGGTTGAAAAATATGTCTATGAAGTATCCTATTTTTCTCAGTGTAAGTGTACCTGTATGTGTTCTTTGCCCATTCATAGGTTTGCAAATGCTTTAAATGTGCCCTTTCCAACACAGGAGTGAGTTATGTTGGGATGTGTTTACTCTGACCTAGGTGTTCTCATCATAGAAATGTTACACAGGAGGAGCGGACCTGTGAGAGAGTTCTGAAGCCTACTAAATCCAAAGTTTAGATGGTATACTTTTTGCTTTCACGTATAAAAGAAGAAAACAGTGTTCTGTGTGAGTAAACTTTTAATGTTAATGGTGTTGAGAGGAAGTTGACTCCATGGATTTTCAGTCTGGCCTTTTTTGACCTTCCAGAGGGGCACCCTCAGAGTCACCTGGAGTTAATGTTTGAAGACTGGTGCAGCATGTAGGGGAAGCTGGGAGCTAGTGGGACAGACCCTTGAGTCCCAGGGTCAGGGCAGCAGTGCGATACCCGGGTGGAAAGGCCAGAACCAGCCACACCACATATCTTTCTTCAGGACCTAGCATGGAGAGGTGTTTGTAGTGTAGAGAAGGAGAGCATGAAGAGAGGAGGGGAGAACAGGGAAGGGCAAACGGGTCCCTTGATCACCACTCTACCTGGCCTGCCTCAGGTGCCAGCACACCAGGGAAGAGGCAAGCGAATGTCACCTCTGAGAGCCCCAGGCTCCCCGAGCCACTGACAGCAAGGGTGGGTCAGTTGTGGCCGCCACCGAAGGAGGAGGGTTCAGGCTTCCCACCTGCTTTCCACTGTGCAGGACGGTGCAGGCCAGTACGTGAGGCCCACAGGAACTGGAAAATGCAGGCAAGGCAAAAAGTGCACCTGGAAGCCTTGGATTATTCTACATGTGTACTACAGCCATTAAAAAACAGGTGCCACAAGAAGGGAGCAGGCGAACGGTCAAAGGGAAGACAGGCCACATCCTATGTTGTGAAGGTTTGGGTTACGAGACTGGGTCAAATCATTTAATTTTGTGGCAGGTTATTAATTATGGCAGGTTACTTAAGTGTCTGAGCTTTTCTTTCTGTGTAAAGTGAGTGTGATGATATCTATATTGGAAAGCTATTGTAAGGTTTATTATATTTAAATATAATTTGTAAACATTCAAGTACCCTGTAAATGCTGGTCATTCCATGGTTTTCCATTTGTAAGCTGTCCCCTCCTGGTGCATGTGTTGCTAACCTGAGGTCTTAGTGATGCCTCCGTGGGGAAGCTGACACTTCCTGTCCTGCTGTCTGAGCTGATCATCCAGAGATTGGATTATGGTGCTGGGGATCTGACTTTGCTTCTCAAACTCCTCATCAGAGCACACTTAAAAGGGAACACATGCCTGGCCAGGTGACTTGGTTGGTTGGAGTGTTGTCCCACACACCGAAAGGTTGCAGAATCGATCTCCAGTTGGGGTGGTTGTGGGAGGCAGCCTATCAATGTCTCTCTCTCTCACTCACTCATTCAAATCAATTAAAAAACATAACATATACTCAGGTGAGGATTAAAAGAAAAATTAAACCATAATACATGCACACAGGGTGCTCAAGCCATCTACCACATACATGCTCATAGCTTCTTTAAAATATCACTCTAGTGGCCCGGCTGGGTGTGGCTCGGCGGTTGAGCGTCGACCTAGGATCCAGGCGATCAGGGTTCGATTCCCGGTCAGGGCACATGCCCGGGCTGCGGGCTGCAGCAGATCAATGACTCTCTCATCATTGATGTTTCTCTCTCTCTCCCTCTCCTTTCCTCTCTCTCTGAAATCAATAAAGATATATTTAAAAAAAAAAAAAAATCACTCTAGCCCTGACTGGTGTGCTCAGTGGTTAGAGTGTTGGCCTGTTCACCGGAGGGTCTCCGGTTCAATTCCTGCTCAAGGGCATGTACCTCGGTTGTAGGTTTGATCCCCTGCCCAGGTTGGGGCATGTGGGGGAGGAAACCAATTGATGTTTCTCTCTCTCTCTCTCTCTGCACCCCCTCCCTCTCTCTCCCTCTCTTCTTTCTTCCCTTCCACTCTCAAAATCAATGGAAAAAATATCCTCAGGTGAAGATTAACAAAAAAATTTTTAATTCTCACTCTGTTTTCCAGTTTTTCATAAACTTTTCAGTCTAGCCTGTACAGTATTTATAATAAACTACACACACCTCAAGTCACTTGTGACTAAGATGTTAACAGAGGGGCTGGGATCCTGCCTGTTCTGTTAATTGGTGGGAGTGATAGGTTGGCCCTGCCTGTGGCTCCAGGTGCCTCTAGACATAGGAGCACATGCCCAATTCTTGGGCTCCTCCTACTTGTCAAAGAAGAGGATTGACTCCTTGGGGCCTGTGTTCCCTTTTGGGCAATAATTCCATGAAATTCCATGTAACAGCTATTGCAAGGAACTCTTGACCTGATTACAAAATCAAATTATATGGCACACTTATTTTTACACAGTGGTTTCTAGATATTGTGTAATTCTTATCCATGTAGGCCAGTCACAGAGGACCTTGCTCAACAGTTAATAGAGGCTTCAGATGATCAAGTTATATTTGCTTAAAATATTATTGAAAGGCAGTCATCAATAATGACCTTTCATTGTGCTATTCTCTCTACTTTTGTGTGTGATTATAAACTTTCCACTAAAGGTCAGCTAAGCACTGAGCACTGTCATTTGCTATCTGCCCATTTCAATGCCTCACCAGAATGAAAGCACAGACTCTAACAGGAAGGAAATGGTATAATCATCAACCAATACATAGCAAAGCAAGGGGCGAGGAGTCCTCAACAAGCAAGAGAATCAGCCTTGGTTTTGGAGCATAGGAGATGAGGCGGGTTGAGAAACCCCAGCCTAGCTGTACAAGCAACCTCCAGAGATGTGGAGGGCAGCCTTCCGGGCAGTCCCCAGGGCTCAGAGTCTGCAGCTGTTTTAGAGGTTGTAAATTTAGATAGAGCTTCCACAAACAAGGTAGGGTTGAAGGGCTGTTTATAAAAGTGTAGTAAGGGTTAGGCCCCCACCCCACTCTCCCAACGCACAGTGCATGCATGCACACCCACACGTAAAACAGGGCACAGGGTTCCCTTGTGTATGTTGCCGAGTACTAAGGTTTGCTTACCTCGGGTAAGACTCGACAAGGCCAGGCAGTTTCCAAATTTGATGAAAACTATATTAAACCCTAATGCCTTAAGACATTTATTAAACATAATTAACTTCTGTCCTGTGCATCTAAGAGCTATGCACTATCATTGGGAAATTTAAAAATACTCATTCAACCCTGGCCCATGTGGTTCAGTGGTTAGAGTGTCCGTCTGGGAACTGGAAGGTCACATGTTCGATTCCTGGTCAAGGGCATGTATGTGGGTTGCAGATTTGGTCCCCACCCCTAGTTGGGGCAGGTGTGCAAGGCAACCAGTTGATGTGTCTCTCACATAGGTGTTTCCCTCCCTCCCTCC